GATTGGTTTATTTGGCCCGTCTATCACCAACATAGGCCAATCAGCTAACCAGTATTTTCGCCCCTTCCCAAAACTACTTCAGCGGAAGGTTTCCAGATAGATATGCAGAGCAAGGCCTCAGAAGAGGCAGATATATCCCAGAATGCTTTGAGGGGAGAGCTCTCCTCGCAAAGCATTATGGGATTTGCCGTCACAGCGGCTCGCTGTCGCCATAGGCTGTCACTCCCCGACAGCGGCGACTAATAACAAAGATGGCGCAGGCACCGTGCGGTGGGGGAGGAGTTATGTGACCAACAGAGCAAAAAGCAGTGATCATATGTCTGAACGGTCAGTTCACTGAGTTCACTATAAAGTCCACCATATAGTCCCCTCTGTATGTGGACACAGTCAGCTTGTTTAAGCTATAAGAACGGCACATTTTAAACAGGTCGTGCAGGAGAAATGGGCTCATGCATGCGCTTGCACCTGCATTTTTTTTATGAGGGCTGATCTTTTAAAAAATCCTCCACAATACCTTTAAATTATAAACAAGTCAATGTCCTCTTCTTTTTTTTCTTTCTAAGAAAAATATTCTATATAAAAAGATCCTAATTTCTGTCTATATGAATAATAACTGCGAGTTCTTATTTATTTATGGGTTAGTTGAGGCATTTTATACATCTGTTGGGGATTTTTTTGCACAGTATTTTGTTCAGTTAGAAGCTCTTTGGATCCTTTTGACTTTAATTATGAGCTTGTCATCAAAACTGAACTGGGGGGTCTTTAAAATGAAAAAAGTCACACCTGTTTTTTCTGGTTTTCTTTCTCAGACACCTGTGAACTTGAAATGGACCCAAACACAGCAAACACATTCCTCATGTTGTCCCAAAGCAACAGGAGGGTGGTGTGTTCGAGGAAACGTGTATATCCAGATCATAAAGAAAGATTTAACTTCTGGCATCAGGTGCTATGCAAAGACGCTCTGCCTAGCCACTGTTACTGGGAGGTGGAATGGGAAGGACAGGTTGATATAGCAGTAAGTTACAAAGGAATCAGCAGAAAGGGAGACGGAAGAGACTCCCTATTTGGAGCAAACGATAAGTCCTGGACTCTGACCTGCCTCCTCAACCGCTTTGCTGTCTTTCATGACGGAAAGCTTAAAGAACTTTCCCCGCCCCCGGGCGCCTTCAACAGAGTCGCAGTGTTTGTGGACTGTCCTGCTGGCATTCTGTCCTTCTATGTGGTTTCCTCTGACATGCTCATCCACCTCCACACATTCAGCACCACATTCTCCGAACCTCTGTATGCCGGATTTGGATGTGATCGGGATAAGGGGCTGATGAACTTCTTATATATGAGGTCGTCACTGTCTGTGTGCACGCCGTCCAAAGACGAGTCGGCGGCACCTGCTACAAAATAAGAACCAAAAAATTTGGTTAAAAATATGTGGTTTAATGTGACCTCATGTCAAAATTGGAATAAACTGTGGTTTAAATGTAATTCAACTGCAAATTTTGATATGTTAAAAATGAATTTATTTTTTGTTTTATTTTCTATTTTAAATGACATTTGTTCTTTTCTATATCTGTTTAAAGGAATAGTACACCCAAAACATGATTAGCCTTCATTTTCTACTCACCCCCATGCTGAAC